GGTGATAATCATTGGTGATGTATTGATAAACATCTCGTCCATGTTGATACAATACGGAAATATCTCAGGATTTGCATTCATTGCAGATACTTCGGTTTTGCTTATAAGTGAAATTTTATACTGGTGTTTTGTAACATGAGTTTGCTTTTTCTTTTCATCAGTATGAGTTAGTTTTAGAGTAGTAGATTTTCCTGGTGTATTTACACCACCTGAGTGTACCAGAGACTGTGTGCCAATAATGCCATGCATGACTGTTAATTACATGTATATAGAGAGAGTATTTGTTACAAAAATAATTTCAAGAAAATCTACCTTAGATATCTAGTGTGCTTTGTGTTTTTCTAAGCGGAATAAATTTGTGAATTTGAATGATATGTTAGAATATTATTTGTGAGGACAGAATCTGTATTATAAGAATGGATAAAATGAGGAAAAAACAAGGTTTTATTACACCAACTTCATTCCGATTCTCTCCAGGGGCATCTCCAGAATCCTCTGTTGGACTAAGGGTAACTGTTATATTTGATACAGTTTTTATATCTTCAGCAGATTTTATTAACTGGTTCATAAAATTGTATTTGAATTGTTTATTGAGCCAAACATTTGAACAAACTTAAGAAATATCTAAATTTAGTTATTGTTAATAAATATGCTGATATGAATATTATTTTATTTACTGCAATCAATTAATGGACATTAAAAAGTTACTCATATTTTCATCTGACTCAATATTGCAAAAATGCAACAAAGTAATGAATTAAATATTGTATGGGTAAAACTGTTGTAAGCTTTGTGAAGCTCTCTGTAGATTTTTACTTTGTAATTTAGAATATACATTGTATAACTAGATGCATGTTCATAACATTCAAAGCATAACAATTCAGTAGGTAGTCTGTTAAATGGCTATGAAATAATTTCCATGACACACTAACAAATATTAAATTTTTTGCTCATAATAATATTTTTATGATAATGAGAAAGTGTTATAGTTTGTTAAAATGACAGTAAAATCATCACCTGCATTGTTGTATTAGTCAGATACTGTAGTTGATCTGTTAACTGCACCAACATTTTATTCTACCATATTACAAACCATTCTACATGTATGCCTTAGTTTAAGAAGGGTTTGACATCTGCTCTTTCACACAGAATATAAAACATGTGCTAGATAGAATGAGCCTGTATGCATGTAAAAATAATATACAAAATGTATGTTTCTTTCAGTTCAATGTAAATTTAAAACGATCTGAATTTTCAAATGCTGTCACTTCTTAACACTAAATCTGCTTAATTTCTTAATCGGAATTGTCCAGCTTCTATTTTTGGAAATGTTCCATGTCATGTTTGGAGATATCAAGATGAAAACTTAACTTAGCAAACAGTTTAGAACCACAGGTTAGATGCACTAACTTGTAGGTCTGGCTGGCCTGGCGTTATACTTGAAGCAAAGGTTCCAGCAGGGAGTGTGTTAACTCACTGTGACAGTCTCAGAGAAAACTGATAGATGATTGAACTGGCACGATCATACCGAGCCTGCATCATTTAGCAATTTTCCATTTAGGGGTTTCATAATATTTCTCTATTTTAGCAATTCTATAGGGTGACTTAATTTTGATAAAGGGGTGAAAGACTTAGTGGCTGGTTTTGTCTTGGTTTCCTCTCTAGTGGTATATAGTTATATACTCTTCATGAGGAAGGTTATGTCAGAATGTTGGAACAGACTCCAGTGACTTTGATCTTATGTTTCAAATGCTTTACTTGGTACTGGTTTTATATTATATGGTGCTGGTTTTAGATCATGAACGGTACTGATAATTTAAAGCTACTGATAGTTTACATGACAGATAGTAGCTGTAAAGAAAACAGAAAAAACATTGGTAATTAATAGCACCATCTCTCATTACAATAGATTAGAGAACCAGACTGGTTTTAATGGATGTAGCCTCAGATGGAGATTATTATATTGGTGTAGATATAGTTTAGATTGTCACAGGATACCATCACAGATATAGATAGCAGTTTTGAAGTTTTAGAATGATAAAGAGAAATGACAGATACAAACTTCACAAGTTTCGAGTGACATAAGTTTAAAAGAAATTAAAACTGGATTTAAGAGAATTGTTGTTATTTTCGTCAATTTTGTAAACTTTAAGTGAGTGGCCTTTCTGTAATATTTGTTTATATAGTGATGGTTTCTCACTGTATTTCTAATATTTTGTATGAAATAGGAATAACTTACGTTATGTATTATGCTATTGTTTGATTTCTTACTCTGACACTTGGGACATAAACTGGACAAACTAAGAGCGGGCATTTTGGAATGACCATTAGTGCTATTAGTGCTTACTATAGTAGATATCTCTAAATATAAATGGAATATACAGCCTGTGAAAAGATCAGTGTGAGTCAGGTGCTTGGATTTTATGAAGAAGTTATATACATGAGGATTTAGAAACAGCTGGTACTGTATAATGTTGATGTGTTTGGAAACCTGTTTTGTGGCTTACATGTTTTCAGGTTGGCTTTGTGATGATTCAAGCATTCTCATTAATTATCTGCATGCATGTATTTCTTATAGATGGAAGGTTTTAAGTGTGTTAACATGTATATCATGTGTTTCTTGTTTCACAACATAGGTGTATTTTACTTGAATAGATTAAGTAAAGTAAACATTTCTAGATTCCAATTATTTTCTGAACAATAATATACATATCTGATATTAATTATTCAAGGTAAATATTCCAAAAAGTTTGCCTCATTTATTTTACCAAGCTTTAGGTTTTCAGTCTACCATGAATAATAAACATCTTCCTTAAAAATAGTTTAACAAATTTTGTTTGTGAATGATTATTTTGGTCAGGATGTCTGCATATGCAAAATTTGGCTTTGGTCAGGATGTATCAATGGCTCAAACTTTACTTTGATTGTGGCTGCTGATGTAAATGATAATTAGGTCAGGATGTATACTGGGTCAAACTATATTTTGTCTGATATCGGGATACATTCAGGCAGAGGCTCAAACTTAACCGTTCTAATGTAAGCTTGAAGATGATGTTATCCCTTTAATTGATGATGTTAATGTGCAACATAAAATAATTACTGTTGACATTATGGTTATCATGCCTGCCTGATAGACCAGGGACAGTGAGCTAAAATAGCTCTATATGGGTCACAACTCAGTACTCAGGTTAGTGCAAGGAAACAGACACAAGATAAGATCAAACAAGCTACAAAACTTTTTTCATTCATGCTTAATACACATGTGTATAATGTTTAAACTATTCTAAAGAAGGTACATTTGTAATCAAATAAAAATTTGTAATTAGATAAAAATTGAAAGACTGATTTTTGAGCTCTGTTTTGTTAAATTGTCAAGATTAGTTTAACTTTACACATGTATTAGTAAATTAATCTTTTATGTATATGTCTGTACATATGTTGAGATGACATCAAAGATGAAATGAAATATTTGGTAAGATAACAAAGTTGACTAGGGGTCACTCAGTGGTATGCAATGTGATACATGTTTTCATGACTTGACAATTTTTATACAAATTAATTTTGCAGAAGTTATATTCTTTTTTGTTTGTTGTTCTGTTCTTTCAATCCTAGGGTTTCATATCTTATCCCTAGGAAAGAGATTTTATATCTCAAAAGTTTTTTTTTAATTTTTGGTACAGAAAAATACAAAATTTATTTTAGTTCGATTGTATAGGATTAGCTATAAGCTTTATAATAGCCACACTTTCGAATCTGTTCCTGCATGGAACCAACCAGTACTGAGCAATTTAAGTGTAAAGTTTCTTGCTCAAGGAAACAATGAATTGCCCCTGACCGGGTTTGAACTAATCCTGTTATAGGTTCATTCTCCAATTACCTGAACCATCTTTTGCTTCTGTTGCTTTTTGGCAATAAGTTGGCAATAAGTTATGTTTTAGTGACTTAGTATTTTGTATGGAAGTCAAAATACTACTTTGGTTACATTTTGCTACTTTTATGGCATATAATTTCACATTAAGTGCTTCTTTCTTCAAATGATAAGCATCTAACATTCTCATAATTGATTATCTTACCATTAGAAAACTCATGTTTGCCCTTTCAGTGAAGGAAAACATGGAATCAGTGTATCATGACATATATGTAGTGGATTTGTGTATCAGCCTTAAAGATGTCAAAATTTGAACACCATTATTTTCTTTTTATTAGAATCTAAATCAGTGTTTTTTTGTTGTTTTTTTTTTTAAGTTAAAACAGGTATTATTTTGAATTATATCTTATATAGCATAGCTTTTGGATTATTTTTGTCATTGAGTGGAAGTTTTGTGGTGAGTAATAATACAGTGTGGTAAAAGTGTGGTAAAAATATTTTGCCTGTCACTGCTGAATTTGATAAAGTTAATGATCAGGTAAATAATCTTGACGGTCAACAAGTTAAAACAAAACAAAAGGACCGATATCTCGACATTGTCACCATGATTGTATGTGTGACTCAAGCCGTGGATAAACAAGTTAAATACTATGTTAAACACAGATAGACAGACGGGACAAAGGGAGGGGGTGGACAGTACTAATCGCAGGTTTGATTACTCTAATTAATGAATGGAAGGAATTTATACATGCTTTAAGATACGTCTAAGATTAAATACTTGCGTTAAAGAAGACAATACATGTAGTTTATTACACTATGTCAGTGCTTTTCTTCATGGCAATCGCAATTGTCATAGAAAATTGATACTCACAGATATATATGAACGATTCAGTGTAAGGGTATATGTTTTCGATGAATAAGCAGATGACAAAGGATCCTATAGAAATTATTCTCTTCATTAAATATTAACACAGATGGCTTTATTGACAGGCTTTGTATGTAAAAGATATGTGGAACAAGTGTTAAATGGATAATAATTGATAATTAATACACTTGTATTAGGTAACAGTGTGTTTTTCTTTCGTTTTTGATATAAAGAAATCTGATAATCTTGAATGCAAGAGAAGCTCGAATCAATCTTGATTAAAAAAAATGCTTGATCAGTAATTTATTACCGTGATCGAAGCTATGACAATGAGGTTATGAGGTAAAAAACATGATTGTGGACTCTACCTATAATGACTCGTATGTACTGTTTTGATGATTCAGTCAATATTGAAGTAAATTGGATTTGAGGACCGTGGATGATTGAGTGTGGTAGTGTATGGGTTTTATCACGGAGTTTACTGTTTTAAATGGAATGCGGGGATAATTTAAAGTGGAAGTGCATACGGGGTATTTTAATGCACTTTTAATACAGCGGCTTTTAAACGGGTTATTGATTGAAATGAGATAGGATCAGGTCACGGGCAGGCAGTGATGGATTCTTTATATTTAATACTTCATTAATAAATAATTGGAATTAGATACTTTATGACACAAAGACACTTATTTTATATGCAAATATTTTTTTTATTTAAACAAAGGGATATATAGAATTTGTTTGTTATATAGTTATTAAACTTGTTGGATTAAAGGTGACATGTCAACCTCAAGTGTTGAAAGTTTTGTGTGTGTTCCTAGAAATTCTTGTGTAATGGTAAGCATTGTTTTTTGCATGTTTTAAATGTTATATTCTTGAATTCTAAATTTGTGCGAATACAAGATCAGACACTAGAGTTGAAGGCATAATAAACTAGTATTGCCAACTTAATCATGATCTATGAACCCAGGGGTTGGTTCAATTTATTCCTTGGAATCATTTTTACACCCAAGAATCATAGTGTTTGACCTCTAAACATTAGTTTCACGAGGGTTAAATAATATTAGCTAGCTAAGATTAAGGTTCATTTTTTCACAAAAAAACATGATTTGTTTTATTGGAGTTTAAGAAATTATGAAAATATCTTAAAAATTACATTTATCAAAACTTAAATTGTTACAAAACAAGTCTTTGTGATATTGCCTTTTATTTGGTCATTAGTTTTTTAAGTAGTCGTAAAATTTGACATTATGTATAGTAATGATTAACATAATCACAAAAAATGTGCTGTTTTTCGTGGGAAAAAACATTAATTTATGTCAATATAATTGTTTGCATTTAAATGAAAATATTTAAACTGCTGGTTTTCTTTAAGTGAAATTACGGCGTAATTTTGTTTTTGAAATAAAATATATGGTTTTTCTGTTATCAAGTGACTGCTGATGTCATGTTACAATTAAGGCTATTACGTTTCAAGGTAGATTATTGTAACGTTGATGATAGCAGAAAATTTACCGTGTGATTAACGAGGGAGAGAGTAAGCTGCTAATTTTGTCACACGGTAATTTGCGTGATATATTTATATATTTTTTACGTAGTTCTGTATCCATATACAAATAGAAATGACGAAATTTGATCAGAGATGGTAAAATATATCGGGAGTATTAAGAAAAGGAAGAAAATATGTTAATAAGGTAGAAAACGCAATACAGATAGGGAGAGAGACAAATTTATGTTAGAATTTTAAAATAACAAAATATTATAATGGAGATTACTCGAGCCAGAAATAAGGATAGAAAGAAGGAAGAAGAAAGAGTAAAGACAGGGAAAGAGAGAAGGAAGAATAAGGATAAGGGACAAAGAAAAGTTAATAAAGTGGAACGCGTTCCTTCAGGAGACATGAAGTTTACTTTTAACTCTGTAATTACTTTTGTGATATTGGCTAATTTTAAGATTGTTGTCATGGTAACTAATTAAAATTTGTGCACATAATTCACTTGCAGTGAAGAAGTTTTTTGTGCACTTTTAAAGCGTGCTGGGTATTGGATAATTGCGAAAGTTGGTAACAGATGTCCCCATGCAATCTGTTAATAGTGTTCTCATGTAAGAATATTCATAAATGTGGAATGCAGCTTGCTGAAACAAAAAAAGTGTTATTAGTTAAAACTAGTGTTTCTGATTAAGGTATAATACCTATAACATAGATTTTTTTCATGGATTAATGTAATGTAAGACCATGCTGCAAAAGAATTGGAGCTGTTAAATAAATTGTAAATATTGCAATCTTTGTTAGGAAAGTCAACAGCAAAACATTATTTTGAGGCAGTTTTACAATGGATATTAAATTACTGAATAATTTCGCTACTGTTTAATTTGGTTTAATATAATATTTTAACATTTGTTTATATTTTCAGATTTATCCAGACCCTGAATTACAGGCTGAAGTGATGAATAGTCATGTAAGATGTAAATATTACAAGGAGGGGTGTCGCTGGGTGGACAAACTTCAAAACCTTCAGGTAAACTTAACACCTGTATATATAATAATTATGTTTTACAAACTGATTTAAATGGTTACAATGGAACCTGTCTACAAGTCTTGAGAAATAGGAAAATTTGGTCTTTAACAACATAATCATCTCCAAAAACAGATATTTGTTCACCATGTTTGTCTTAAATTGAAAATAAAATCATGGTAAGTTAAGTGACAGGGTTTCTACACCTTGTTCTAATGTTCTGTATGTGCTTACATCTGTTACAGTAGTCAATATAAAATAAGAACTTTCACAGGTCAGGTTTTGAATCATGAATTATGTGAACACATTTTTGCCATCATGAACCTTACATGATTAGACCAGTTGTCTGGTATTTATTGCACCAATTGCTTCAATTTAACAACCCATTTTACCTCTTTAATTGACTATCTACGTGAATTGACCATAAAAGTATAAGTTATGATGACCTTAGGTGTATTAAGCAGGTGGTCATTATCTGACCACGGTCAATTACAAGTTGATATCTATCAGTGCCTGACTTCATGTCAAGAGTCTTATCTCCACAGCCTACTGTTCTTTCACAAGAGGTAAATACCAGAGACAACAATTCAAATCCAATTTGTCCACTTTTTCCTGATAAAACAAGTCAATTATCGTTATTGAGATAGGCAAAAGCTACTTGTACTTGGCATAATTGACCCAAGCTATTGTCTTCTGTCCTTCAGCCATACTTTCATTTGAGTTATCACTGTCAACTTGATCTCATCTCAGCAGAATATTTCTTCAAGTTTCCACAATCCTATAATGTGACACATTCTTAACATTTGACACAATCATAAAATGTTACACAAATTCATGTGTTATACAATTTCCTATGTGACACAGTTATTATGCCACACAGTAGTACAATACGACACAGTAGTACAATACAATGTAATACAGTCTTAAAATATGACACAGTGTTAACCTGTGACACAATCTTAACATGTGACACAAATTTATGTGTCATACAATTTTACCATGTGACAAAATATCAATATGTGACACAATATTAACATGTGACACAAATTTATGTGTTATACAATTTCCTATGTGACACAGTTATTATGTGACACAGTAGTACAATACAATGTAATACAGTCTTAAAATATGACACAGTCTTAACCTGTGACACAATCTTAACATGTGACACAAATTTATGTGTCAAACAATTTTACCATGTGACAAAATATCAATATGTGACACAATAAAAACATGTGACACAAATTTATGTGTCGTACAATTTTACCATGTGACAAAATATCAATGTGTGACACAATTTAAATATGTGACACAGATTTATGTGTTGTACAATTTAACCACATGTATGTGACACAGTCTTCACATGTGACACAAATTTATGTGTCATACAATTTTACCATGTGACAAAATATCAATATGTGACACAATATAAACATGTGACACAGACTTATGTGTTATACAATTTAACCACATGTATGTGATGTGGCACAGTCTTCACATGTGGCACAATCCTACCAATTGTGACTGAGACACTAAACATGTCTAAGTGACACAATCTCTGTATGGTCAAGACTTTGCTGGGGTCAGCATTATTATATGCAAATTTGTATATGATAAAACATAATTATCTGACTTATAAGTATTTAAAAAATTCCTAACAACACAGCATATGATTGATCGATTACATTTATGTTTGAAATTTGAAACTGCCCAGTAGGATGGTCACTGAAACAAACTGACATCTTAAACTTTTATGGATGAACTGTTTTCAACATCTGACATTTTAAACTTTTATGGGTGAACTTTTTTCACCTTTTATGAAACATTAATGCTAAGAATTATAAATTATGATTTGCTCTCTAAGGTTCACAAAGTTCTTTTGACATTTACATAAATAATCAGTGGACACCTGAATATATATAAATTCTTTTGATGTCTAAATTGTCTACATAGTAAATAAAGACTTTATATCCATTATCCTAATATAAATATACAAAATAAAATCATTTCATACTTGAGATTTTATACACTGTGATAAGCCGGGTTCAAAGTCATTAACAGTAAATCTCCCATTACTTGTATAAAGAACTGACTCAGTCAATATTGTTGTTGTTTATCTTTTAATTAAAGATCAATTAAATGTCTATAAAAGATAGAATTTAAATACGCATTAGTATTTTACTGCTGGTAAGAGATGAATTAAATTATAAGATAAATGACAAAGTGCCTGCATACCGTGCATGCGCAGGACATGCCAGTATTCAATTACTGGTAAATTGTTTATTTTATGGACTTAAAGTTTTCAATGTTTTTGAATGTGAGGGTATCAAATTTTGCTGACAATTATCCTCTTAAAAGATCTAGATATATGATAGAAACATGAGAGCTTGCTTTATAAAATACTGACATTGCACACCTGTTGTTGTTGTTGTCGCTAGGCTGTCATGGAGATATTGGGGACTGGGTCTCTGTATTATTTTTAAATGGACTTTACTTTCTAAATAGAAGATTTGTCATTTTACAACCATCAAGAGGTGTAAAGTATTTTATTTAAAAAGTTGAAAACTAAAATGATCATAAAGATTCATATTTCGAATTAGAAATGCTTTTTAAAAAGCATATAAAAGGGCATTTGTATATTGTATTATAAGTTAGACGTGGTAAGTAAATGCCTGAGTGTCACATGCTGAAATATTGGACAATTTGATATTTATTTATATAAAAAACGGACAGAGAATCATTTGCTCAAGCAGGTGCTTTTGAAATGTCAAAACATTTTGGCAAAAAGAACTGAAAAGATGGTGAAAACTTGCTGACAAACTCAAATACCAGTGTCTCTCAGTTTGGTGTGAAAATGTCCTTAAACAATTTAAATTACATTTATATATATATATATTCCTTATTCATATTTTATAGCCTTCCTTGTCCATTGTAAGGGCAGGAAATTTATCATTTTTACCTGAGATAGACAAGATATGAAAACAATGAGAAATATGTCTAATAATTTCCAGGTAGTTTTTGATGAAATAGAAGATCACATTTTAATAACTATTTGATGACTGTATGTTAGACTGTGCCCAAAATTTTCAATTATATTAATGATGGTCAGCTAGATTCTGTCAATTTTGAAGTCAGTTTATTTATGATTTATGTATAAAACATCTGATTTTAATTTTATATTCACATGTAAAAGTCCTGAAAAAGATGATGTACACTGATAAATTATATTTACAATTCATTTTGCATTTGTTTCAATTTGTGAACAGTGTTTTTGATAAGTGATTTTGGTGGGAGTCTTTCTGATGCTTTTCTGTTCTGTGACCAAAACCTGCATTAGGGATGCAGAAAACTGTTTCAGGACTGTGTTATATTGCTATGCTTAGTAAATGTTTAACATTGAATGTCATTTAATCAATGTTAATACATGTAGTAAAAGTTTTAATGCAATTTGTGCATACATTTATATTAAGTTTTTACTTTCGAACTGTGATTCTATGTTGTCTATAGAGAATAAGGTTGAGTTATTTGAGGTGACATGGTGTAGAAAGATTGATTTCCTTCTGTTTATAGTGGATTCAATGAGTCAGAATTATTTCTATGTCATTTAAAACCACAACAAACAAAACAGCTTCATGTCAGGTACTCAAGTCAAAGAAACTGTCATTGATTGAAAAAAATACCTTTCAGAAGTCCATTCTAAATCAATAACTTGAATGTTAATGGCTCTGTCATAGTTTTCAGATAAATTAGATAAATATTTTCTTTATTGTAGGCTCATTTAGATGTTTGCCGATTTGATGCCATTCCATGCCCGAACCAGTGTACTGAAGTTTTGTCACGTCTGTCATTAGATGATCATCTAGAATTTAGCTGCTCGAAACGTATCGTCATCTGTGAATTCTGTAACCAGGAGTTTCCTGGGGATGCCTTTGATCTGGTACACTAAATGCTATATTTTGTTATTAGGAACCATTTATTTCATTATAATGTTTTATCACTAAAAAGGTCATTGATTGATGCTAGAAGCCACTGTATACTAACAAGTAATTTTCTGCATATGATATATTTTAAATGTGAATTAGAGGAATTAATATTTCGATATTTAGGGAGGTTACTTGCTAACTTATAGAGTCAGCATTCAATGAGTGTGATTTATTCATTACCTGTAGAAACTAAGCACCTAAATCCATATAGTATTGAAAATGTCTTGGAAATTAGAAACATTCACTTGCTAGGATAATATCCTTATTTAGGTTTTTTTAAAATTTTGTTAGCATTTATTGTAAAATTTGTCATATATGTCCTAAAATTAATGCATAAATCTGCGAATCATAATAATGAGTAAAAACAACAGCAAAAACATCACTCTGATCTTAAATTCATATTACATAAGCATAATTATGATGTTTGAAAAAATATATTTTATCTTCAAAATTCTCATACTTTCTATGTTATATAAAAGTTGCAATTTGTATGATTGTAATAATAATATATCTTGCAATTTTTTATTCAGCATGTAGGTAACTGCCAGTATGAGATAGTTTGGTGTGAGAACAAATGCGGAGCTAAACTGGAACGTCGATTTCTCAACAATCACATGCGAAACGAATGCCACAAACGTACAGTTAAATGTCCTTACTGTGCAAAAGAATTTGTATATGAAACATTACAGGTAAAGTTATACGGTTAACAGATTTAATTATATGGTTTTAAATGACAAATATTTTGACATGCTGATTCTAATTGACAAACTTAACAAAAAGATATTTCTCAAATATTTAAAAGGCCCACATAAAGTTTTTATGACTTCAGATTATTGATAAACTTCCACCAAACTGTCATCTATTTTTTTATCATGTCTGCCTGACTCACTAGCTATTGCTATACCAGTGAAGTGGGGAACCGTTCTACTGTTATTGATTCTATTTTACAAAGAGAACATTTAATAAAAAAGAAACAAAAAACACAAAATGAAAGCCGTGGTAATTATAGGTATTGAATATGTACATGTAATTTGTAATGTAATATAATACATACAAAATTAATATAAATTAGTAATTTTCAAAGTTATTTATGTAATGCTTATCGAAACTTTAGATCTACCTTGACCTAAATAGAATAAGATTAAAAGAGTTTTTCTGTAAAGAAGGATGTATTTGCTTATGACGATGATTGTCAGATATTGTTTTTCAGTCTTCAATAATGTTTTTGTACCAGACTAAGACTAGGATAAAATTGGTATTTAAATTACTATGAAGGGAACAAAATGCTTTCAGTTGATACCAAATTGTTCTCTGCACATGATATACTTACACTCTATATCTTATAGCACATTAAAATGCATCTTATGTAGTTGTTGAGTCTTATGGCTGTATAAAATTCATTGTAACTATCTCTGAAGTACATCATGAAAAGTTTGTTTAATTTAATCTGAAAATCTGCGTGTCAGTCTGCTCATTGTACAAATGTTTAGCTCATCGTGTATAGACAAGTGGAGCATCCAAATGTTATAATCACTATCACAGTCAATAAACCTTTACCATTACATGGATAAATTCTGTATTTTGGACTTGTCCAGCTTTGAAAAAAGCCTATTTACAGTTTAGCCCCTTACCTTACAAGCTGTATCTGGACCAGTGCAGACTTTAATCAGTCTGCACATCCATGCTGTCTAATCATTGTCCACACTGTTGACTTTTCAATCAGTATATATTGAGAAAATTATCTCTAAAACTGGTGAATAGTTTTGTCCAGAATGAATGATGGGCAAGTCCATTTAAGATATTAGGGTGTAAAGGGTTAAGAATATTCAGTATTAAGATACTAAAATTGAGTTGCCAACAAGATTGAATCTGGCTTGGCTCTAAACTTGCAGCATTTGTGCTGAAAATGTAAACAAACAAATTTGAATCTCAAAATGAATTTTAAAAAGGAAAATACATGTTTTTGCATATTTGTGAACGATTTGCTATTTTTTCTAGACTCATCAATATCAGTGCCCCAGATACCCAGTTCCTTGCCCAAACAGATGTGACCCAACAAAGATTCCACGTGAAGAGGTGGATGTACATGTGCAGGAGTTGTGTCCGTCTGCTACAGTCTCATGTGCATTCAAACATGCCGGCTGTACGCACAAGGTAATATAACCATGTTTAAATTATGTGTGATCATAAAGGTACCACTTTTCCCATGTAATAAAACAATCTCTCTACTTGTTTATTGCACATAACATCTCTGTACACTCGAAACAGCAAAATCTGTCGTCTGCTTTCACCCTTGTGAATATTGCATGTTAATATAAACAAGATCTAAAAGCGGCAACATTGAAAAAGTATAAAGATAAAAAAAATCTAACCTAGCTACTGTAAGACAAAATTCAAAATCTAAATTTAGACAAGAAGGTTTTTAAGTTGCCCTTGAGGAATATTGAAACTAGAAATTAAAACGTGGTAACATTACATAACTTTACAAAACTTTTACAAGATAAAACAAAATTTTAACACATTATTTATTTTGAGGGTTTCTTTGTTATTTAAGATTTAAATATTTTACATTGCTCAATTGATACGAATATGTAATAAATGTAACTTTCTGAAAGAAAAAGTTAACATTCTTAAATATAATACATTAGTTGCTCAATTGATACATATATGTAATAAATGTAACTTTCTGAAAGAAAGAGTAAACATTCTTAAAGGTTAGCAACATCAAGATTTTAATAATTTGAATATAAATATTATGATTTCAGTGTCCTAGATACAGTATGGATCGTCATAGTGATGACAGTACAAACCAGCATTTACAGTTGATGTGTGACCTTGTACAGAAACAGCAAAACCAAATAACACAACTGTGTAACGCCCTGTACTCTGTAACACAAGTCACAGATGGCACATTCATCTGGAAAATAACAGACTATAAACAGAAGTTCATTGAATCCATTTACAAAAATACAGAAATTGTCAGCGAGCCTTTCTACACAATGAGGTTTGGGTACAAGATGGCAGCGTCAGTGTTCTTGAATGGAAATGGTTCTGGTGAAGGCAAATATTTATCTGTGTACATTAAACTCCTGCAAGGAGAGTATGACAACATTCTCGACTGGCCATTCATGTTACCTATCTCATTTACATTGTATGACCAAAATTCAGACATTGAAAAACGTGCTAACATCACGGAAAGCTTCGTCCCAGATCCAACATGGAAACATTTCCAGAAGCCTGTAAAGGATGTTGATCAGCTGGGATTTGGATACCCAAAGTTTGTGTCAAATGAAGTATTGAAAAAGAGAGATTATCTCCGTGGTGACTCTTTAATCATTAGAGTGAAGGTGGACAACTCTCAGCATATCATTACATAAGGCCAAAAATGATTACCTCCCTTTCATGCATTTGTGTTTTTCCTGCCATATATCTGTTATATGTACAGTGCTATTTTATAGCTAAATTTTATGTATTAGGCCCATTAAATAATGTTCACATTACATAATAATCTTAAGGCATAGTGAATATGAGAAAAAAGCTTAATCAGCGAAAATGTCATATTCTTATTTATTTAATTAAGGGCATTAAGTCCTATTATGTTCTTTACTTACTCATGCTATTAATTTAATTCTTTGGTACTTAATATCGATATTGCAAGCTTCAAAACTGTTCATATTTTTTCTGTTCTTCTTGTGGTTCAATAATAAACAAATATTTATGATTCAGTAAGAAGTTTAAATTTTTAAATTAAAGTTCATGAGAAATTTCAGATTCAATAAGAAATTGGCATAAGAGATCGATTGAGAAAAAGATATTCAGTTAAGTTGAGAAATTGATATGTGAAGTTTAGTAAGAAGTTGATATTTGAAGTTAAGTAAGAAGTTGATATTTGAAGGTCGAAAGAAATTGATATTTGAGGTTCAGGATATCGATAATTGAAGTTTACAAGAAATTGATATTTGAAGATGACTATAAATTGATATTTGGAGTTTATAAGAAATTTATATTTGAAGTTGAACAAAAATGTAACTTTTTGTGATAAGTACATGTTGGAAGTTGATATTTAAATTTCATAATATTAAAAAGGTTGGCCAGTATTGTAAGCAACTATAAAATCCCGTGTCATGTGAACTTATGCAAAAGATTAGTTTGCATTTCCTTAGATTATATCAGGTCACAATAATTGACATTTTATTAGGGTTCTAGAGTATAGAATTAGAGAATGAGACCAGTATGAAACTCGGCATTTGATTGGTTAAATTTGTGTCACACAGGACCAATAGATTAAAAGCATTTAGATACTACCTTGTTCAGTAAGTGTCCTATGTGACGTTCACGAGTAGAAGAGTATATTGTTGAAGTTGTAATCTCTGTTTTACAACCTTATAGCCAGGAAAATAACATGCATTCTTACTTCAGCCATCTATAAACCATGATTCAGATGGTTAATTGATTACTAATTTGTGCAATAACTTATAAAGATATTCTTATTTGTATGTATTTTTGTTTTGTTCATGTATATGAAATCCTTTTCGGTGATTTGATTGTTATGTATTTTGACAATGTTTCACTCTCACATTTGAAGCATGTTTTGTTCCTGTATATAGAAATATTATTGTATTATGATGTTCTTACATTGTATCTCATGTGAAAAATTCTCTGTCAGATTTGAATATGTAGTAATAGTTTCCTTAATATAAAACCTTGTAAAATAGTGCTGTGTCATTACAGATGTGTAATTATAACCAAATTTATATGACAAGGCTTTTATAGGAGAGGAAGAGTTTCACTTTTAGTCTTCCTTACCCTGTTTGTTACCTGTCAGGTCTTAATTTATCATCATTGTGGATCATAGCATCAATGTTTATAGGAATCATTTCTCATTTACTTATTATCAACCTGCTTAAAACTCCACCCAACCCATTAAACCATAGTTTTTCAATATTAATTGTTCAAACCCTACTCAGAATGAGCTTTGTATTTTCTTTTCATTATTTTTTTTTCTTAAATTGAAAGATCATTAATTTGTTTTACAAGTGCAGCTTCTAAATGTAAAAAAATGTGCCTTTATTACAATTACTAATGTGTTAGTCTTTTTGGAACAATGAAAATCCTGGTTCAGTTGTGATGTATTGATTTCATTGGCAAGTTTTAGGTGATGTTGTCAGACATGTTTATCCTCACCTTATTGTAGAACTTGTTAGTAACTACTGCCAGACTTTTATCTATGGATATACTCTTATGCAGAAGTTTAAAGTAAATTTTATAAGTTATTATTTGAAGGATTTATACTCTAGTCAAATGTAACTACATGTATGTTTATATCTGACAGATTAAATATGATAATAAACAAGCAAAATGTGTTCCTTTTTTATCTGTGATGAAATTTCTGGATTCTTGGGCAACCGTTTGTTGTAAAGTAAATACAACTGTATTATATAGAACTGTTGATATTGGGGGCATCTGTGGCCAAGTGGTTAATGTAGTTGACTTGGCCCTCACAACTGTGGGTTCAAATTCTACTAGGGACTGTGGATTATTTCATGTAAGGAAGCTACCCAGCTAGCTTACAGAATGTTGGTGGTTCAACTCAGCAGCCTATTTGTGTCCGAAAAAATGTACAAAGGGGGACTTGAGGTCTTCCTCCACCTGTAAAGCTATAATGTAGTCCCCATATAACCCTGCTGTGTTGGGGCATTGTGCTAACTCCATCCGAGTTAATGTTGCACCCTTTTGATTGAATTATCTGTTTTAAATTGATATACATTTGTGTAGAGTTACAAGTAGTAAATATGGCACCTGCCATTATATCTGCTGGAAATCAGTTGCTCTATTCATTCTAGGTAAGGACTTGTCATCTACCTGTATTATATGCAGTAACCTTGACCATCATTTTAGAGGTTAAAGGTAACTGCAGGAACTATCAGCATGACATCCTATCTAAACGACCTCCAACATCCATTAAACAGATTTTCAAAAAACTGACAAACAAAATGCTGAAGCCATGAACAGATTTATTCACAATTAAAATAAAAATGTTTGGACTAATATTAACTGCCAACAATATACTTTTTCTACATTGTTAAACAATAATTAGCAAAATGCTGGATTTCCTACATAATTTGTTGACAAAATAAAAATCATCTAGATTTCCATGTGAAATAATCAAATCAATGTAAAGTACACAACATTCTTGTTAAAAAAAAAGTATGGCTTGAGCCTTTTAAAATTAGAAATCCTTATAATATAAATATAGTCAACAAAATCATATATTATAGTCTACAAGTTCACTTAAGAGCTCCTAAGCTATTTTTGATTTGAAGTCCAAATATAAGATGTACAATCAAGAATAACAAAACTTCACAAATATCAGTTCTCACAAATCCATATATTTCTTCATATTTCAATTTAACCATTAAAAAAAGTTGACAAAAAATGCTTTTAATAGTGAAGTTATCTACAAAATTCAACAATGGCAGTGTTCATATAATTCCTACAATGCTTTTCTGTACTATTGCAAATAGATCTACTAGGGAAAAAACTTACAATAAATTTTTTTTCTCTAGGAGTATAGATCAAAATGTTCCTTTTTAAGAAAATCACAAGTAGAAGCAAAATACAGCAAATTGCCACGCAAAATTATTAACACTGTCTTCAGTTTAACCTGTCCTATAGGCAAGCAAATATGGTAAATATTTACTACTAATAAAACCATAAAATATATTTGTTGTCATTTTAATAGCATTTTTTTTTTCAATAAATGAAAAAAATATAAACAATTGTATTCATACAATGGTCAATTGAAACTCTGTCTCCCATGTAAACCAAACAATTGACTAAGATAGGGAATTGTCTAAAAATACATGTATTAAAAAAATACATCTAGGAGTATAGATCAAAATGTTCCTTTTTAAGAAAATCACAAGTAGAAGCAAAATACAGCAAATTGCCACGCAAAATTATTAACACTGTCTTCAGTTTAACCTGTCCTATAGGCAAGCAAATATGGTAAATATTTACTACTAATAAAACCATTTAATATATTTGTGGTCACTTTAAAAACATTTTTTTTTTTTCAATAAATGAAAAAAATATAAACAATTGTATTCATACAATGGTCAATTGAAAATCTGTCTCCAATTTAAACCAAACAATTGACTAAGATAGGGAATTGTCTAAAAATACATGTAAATCCATGAATCAAACTTTTTATTAAAATAAACCTTCTTTATTATCATGATTAATCTCATTAAAACCAATATAAAATACATGTAGCCTCATTTTAAAAGATTTGAACGCTTGCAGTGACAATCATGTACTTATTCTACCTGTAATAAGCAGGGCCAGTCGGCACATCTGCACAATCTCACAGGATTCTAACAGTTGACAGCTTTATTCTAGATATAAAACCACCTTAACTAGCTGGATTTGTACTGCTTTGAATTGGTTTACTCTACTCAAAGTAAGGGGATTTCAATATCAAAATATATAACATGAGCACCGAACACTGTGTTGAAACTTGTCTGTTCAAAATTCTAAGTTGAAAAGAGGCATCACTGCAAAAATATTGTTTTCAGAATTATGCCCCTTGTCTAATAACTGCACAAGTTTCATGTTGATAGCTTTGAAAATGTTTAGAACAATGGACTACATTAAAGATTTTGCACAATAATAAGAACATTACTGCAGTGATCAAATTAATTGCTTGACTTTTTCTGCTAAAAATTGAGCCAATAACAGCATAGAGCTTAAATAGATTGCATGGATGTGCAGGCTGGCCTGGCTATACTCTGGTGGCAGAAGCTTATCACTTTCAGTTAAAGCACGATAAGATTAAATTAACAATGAACACTTTTAAATTTGGGGCGGGGTAATTAATTTATACTACTTTATTTAGGTGGGAAAAGCAAAATCAAAACCAAAGTTATAACCAAGCTATTTAGATATTCTTGTACAATATGAAAGTTCTATTAGGGTGACTAGCAGGTGGACAATTTTCTAAAACATACAATAAAGCGCATATATACATGTATATATATAAGATACAGCAATTAACAAGTTAAAAGCATATTACAATCAGTAGCAACATTTTGGAATGAGATTTGAAATATAACATTTTAATTAAATAACAAAGCTGCAAAGTTGATCGAGTTTCTGCATTTGAGCCGCGTCACGACAAAACCAACATAATGGGTTTGCGACCAGCATGGATCCTGATCAGGAGAGTTGATAAGCGAACAGCATGGATCCTGATCAGGCTGCGCGAATGCGCAGGCTGGTCTGGATCCATGCTGGTCGCAAGCGCATTATGTTGGTTTTGTCATGACACGGCTCATTTATAGGTATTGAATATCAAGACATTAAAGTGTATAAAGCTATATAACTATTTGCTGTATTGGGATGGTAAAATTATTGTTTATATTGGGAATCAATTTAAATTCCTATCAGATATAGCTTTAAACACTTTGAATGTAAGATAAAGTAGACTTGCTACAAAACTATATTTCTATGGTTGAATGTCCCGATTTCCAACAATCTATAACAGTTCTACGAAATAAACTATCCAAAATTGAAGGGATTACGGAAAACTTCAAAAGTGTTCTACAAAACCCTGATGGGTTACTAACACTTTATTGAGTTTCTAAGCATATCCCTAAGCTGTATTCATGTTTTTTAGAACATCCCACTACCTTTACATCAAATCACAATTCATAAATCTGTGGCAAGCAAGTTTTGACTAAATACACCTATTCATGGTGAATAATACTCTTTAAATATACATTGATACAATTTCTGATTTTGTGAACTACAAATTATATTCTACTAAAATCTGACAAAAAAGAAAGAAACAAAAACAAACATAAAAACCCTCAGAAGTGTAACCTGACTATATATTATCAGCATTTTAATTTTGTATTCTGACATTTAAGTACCCCAAAAATATAACGATGGTCTGAAACACTATATAAATTCTGTGAGGCAAGGGTAAATAAAAAGTGTGTTAGTCAAGAGTAAATTCAGTGGGGCAAGGGTAAATAAAAAGGCTGTCAAGTCTAGATAAGAAGGGATGCCTCTTGGTTGGCAGAGTGTGCCAAAATAAATTCTGAATAAATGCTGTAACAAACAAAATGGCTACTAACGTTATATGCCTTTTTTCTGATGCACTAAATAACAGGTATAAGAAACACATACTCAATAACAATTTTGTTTAAAAGACATAAAAAACATATACTAAAGATACTAAAGAATACTGATCAACATGCAAAAAAATATAATACCGTTATAGTTGGATAAAATAGCACTTTGATGGGCAAAAAGGGTAAAAGGTGGATAAACTAGAACTATTGTTACATCTGATTTATACCCCCACCAATGTCCTTCATAACAGCTGGCTTAAATAGGTGGATACGGGAGTAAGTTTTGCCGCATGAAAGACATATAAGAAGAAATTGTCTCTTGATAAACAATAGACAACTTTGTACAGAACATATAATTGATTGTGCCAATTTACTATGTGTAAAAGAAAACAAAAAGTGTAATGGTCACAACAATGTTAAAAAGCAATCCAGAACTATGAAACTTAGTATCCTGAGCTGGCATGAATATTCATAAATGTAGTTAAAGATTCAAGTGTATACCTGTTCAGATTTTAGAGATTTTTAAGTATGAATGCAAATTTCAGATTTCAGAGGTACTGAAGTATTAATGCCAATTTCAGATATATTTAAGTTTTAATGAAATTTTAGAGATATTTAAGTATGAATGCAAATTTCAAAGATATTTAAGTATTAATGCAAATTTCAAAGATATTTTAAGTATTAATGCAAATTTCAGAGAATGCAAATTTCAGATTTCAGAGATATTTAAGTATGAATGCCAATTTCAAATTTCATAGATATTTAAGTATTAATGAAATTTCAGAGATATTTAAGTATAAATTCAAATTTCAAAGATATTTAAGTATTAATGCAAATTTCAGAGATATTTAAGTATGAATGCAAATTTCAAAGATATTTAAGTATTAATGAAATTTCAGAGATATTTAAGTATGAATGCAAATTTCAAAGATATTTAAGTATTAATGCAAATTTCATAGATATTTAAGTATTAATACAAATGTGAGAATATTTTCTTCAACTTTCAGACATAAATTGTTTGGTGGGGGTATTATAAGCTTATCCTATACTAACTCCCTTTAAAATATAATCCTCAGCACGTAAAACTCATTTCTAACATCAAATAATAAACAAAACAATACAAGGTCCAATGTAAATTTTTCTAAATATTTACAAAATAAAAAAAAAGAAATCCTTTAGAAGGATAGGTAAAACAATGGAATTATTATAGAGTAACAATATATAGCTGCATGAAAAATCCATGCATTCTGTATAACAAGCACTAGATATATAAATATATACACACAAAAATACACAATATTCTCCAACTATTGCCTTTATAAGGCTAGAGAACAAAAATAAATATGTTCCGATTTAGAGATTTAACAAAAAAAAAAGTTACGATGAAAAAACAACAAGCATCTTGTAGTATACAGGAACATAAATATATACACATCATGTCTGCAGGAAAAATATCTATGTTTACAACCATATTCATTGTAGATTCCAACCTGTCACTTTCATATTAAACTGGTATTATTATAATCTTTGTAAAAAAAAATTCAAATCATCACCTTAGTGCAGTAATGGAATAAGTTCTTTTAAATTCAATAGGAGATAATTAGTTATTGCACTTAAGAGTAACAATTAATAGTTAAATTTCACTAAGACTGCACACAGTTTTAGAGCGGCATTATGATCATTTTAAACGCTGTCAAGTTGACTTGAATAAGTAATAAATTTTAAGAAATATATCACAATAATAGTGATTGACCAATAACTGATATAGGAAAATATGTAGGATATATTATATAAAAACTTCTTAACTTATAAAAAGACACCCTCATGAATGTTAATGATACATTTTGAACGATATAATATTTATAGCATTTTTTGTGGGTCATGTGGATTATTGATTATTTTTGCATACTAATATATAAAGTTTAACACCATTATGGCAAAATATTAAGTTATTTTGGCTTTTACCTGTGCACTTATCTTTTGCACTTGGATGGGCATATTATCACTTACGCAAACAGTTGTATTTTCATTATTTCTGATCCCATCCTTCATTTAATGATTAATTTTGCCTACATATAAAAACAAGAGTGGTGTATACCATACAAAAAGAACAGCTTATATAAAATTCTGAATACAAACATGTTGCATTTTAGATCTGAGAAATTGTTTTCAGCAAAAACAGATCTTTCTAAAATATAATATGCAACTATATATTCTGCTTATACTATACAATTATAAAATCACAATACATAGTAAGAATCTGGGACATGTGAAGGTGGACACTTGCCCCCGAAAGTTTGGAGATTTGCTGCTAAATGTATATTTCAAATGCAGTATGTTTCAAATAAATACATTATAATTGTAACAAGAGCCATGTCAACATGGCCATCCCCCGCCGAATGTGTTTGCTCATTGGAAGAATGTATATGTAGTAGAGCAGAATAATTCCATTTTAAGAGGTCTTTTGGTAATGAAAACTGATGGCTATAGTGATTACAGATTTGAAACCTATGTGAATACTGATGGCTGAAAATAACAAAGGGCAATAACTGAAAAATAATGCAGGGTAGGTTATCATCCTTGTGTGCTGCATCCCTCCTCAGTAAAATCTATCCACCTATGAAGTTTCAAGTTGATACCTCAAATACTTTTTGAGAAAAAAATTGAATTGAAAAATTAAGTATGAAAAATAACAAAGGGCAATAACTCAAAAATTATAAAGGTACAGTTATCATTCTTGTGCAGTGCACACCTCCTGAGTGAGATCTATGCACCTGTGAAGTTTCATTTTGATATCTCAAAGGCTTTTTGAGTTATGCTCTGGACAAAAATTAATTTTGAAAAATAACAAAGGGCAATAACTCAAAAATAATGCAGGGCAGAGTTATCATTCTTTAGCACTGCACTCCTCCTCAATGAGATCCATCCACCTATGAAGTTTCAAGATGATACCTCAAATACTTTTTCAGATAAGCTCTGGACAAAATAGCATGAAAAAAACAACAAAGGGCAATAACTCAAAAATTGTATAGGGAAGAGTTATCATTCTTGCGCACAACATTTCTCCTCAATAAGATCTATCCTTCTATGACATTTCATGTTGATATCTCAAACACTTTTTGAGTTATGCTCCACTCAGGTGAAAAATTAGGTATGAAAAATAACAAAGGGCAATAACTCAAAAAATATGAAAGGAAGAGTTATCATTCTTGTGCACTGCACACCTCCTGAGTGAGATCTATGCACCTATGAAGTTTCATGTTAATATCTCATAGGCTTTTGGAGTTATGCTCTGGACAAAAATCAATTTTGAAAAATAACAAAGGGCAATAACTCAAAAATCATGCAAGGTAGCGTTATCATTCTTGTGCACTGCACTCCTCCTCAATGAGGTCTATCCACCTATGAAGTTTCAAGTTGATAACTCAAATACTTTTAGAGATATGCTCCGGACAAAAATTTCGGACGGAAGGACGGACGGACGGAAGGTCGGATGGACAGACGGACGGACGGACGGAGACTATTACTATATCCTCCGCCGAAAATTTTCGGCGGGGGATAACAAGCAATTATCATAGTATTGCAAGCAATCCATAAGTCCCCTACCGGTTAGAACCCCAGCAACATTCTGATGGGCCATTGGCCATTCAATTTTACCAGTGGATGAATGACATGAATGAACTTAAATCTTTTGAGTTCTAAGTTTGTCTATATCACAGTAATGTGTTAAGTTTCCCTGCCTAGTAAGGAAATTATGTTTATACAACCCTGTCATATTATTATAATGAGGGATTTTAAAGTAAATCCTATAAAAAATCTAAGTCGAAAAAAATCTAAGTTCAAGGGGGAGATAATTCTGATAATAGTCTTAGTATTTAACCTCCTCAAAAATGTTGAGTGATAATAAGAAACATATATATGAAGTTTGAAGTAGATATATTAGAAAATAAAGAAGTTATTAAAAAAAAAAAAAACATTTTTTTTTTCATAAAAATTCTAAGTTCAAGGGAGGTAATGCGGATAATTTTTGTGCTAGAGTTGTAAACCTTATCATATGTGATGTGCTTGATGGCCAGAAACTTATATTTAAAGTTTGAAGTAAACACCTTAAGAAATAAAGAACTTATAGTGAAAAAGCTGAAAAATTTAAATCAGAAATCTTGAAATTCAGGCTATTTGTTGCCATAGCAACCAGAATTTTCAACATAGGAAGGAAAGAAAAAGATGTGCATAATCTCCAGACTGCCATCTACCCATATTTTAAGTTTCATAAAAATATTTTCAGTACTTTTTGAGTTATCACTGGATCCAGTTTATGTGTTAAATTTGCCATATTTTCAGACTATTTGTTGCCATAGCAACCAGAATTTTCAACATAGGAAGAAAAGAAAAAGACGTGCATAACGTCCATACTGCCATCTATCCATATATCAAGTTTCATAAAAAAAATTTCAGTACTTTTTGCGTTATCGCGGGATCCAGTTTTGTGGGCGGACGGACGGACAGACAGACGGACAGACAGACAGACGGACGGAGGGTAAACCTAAAGTCCCCTCCGGTTAAACCGGTAGGGGACAATAAATGCATTATAATTAAAACATAAGCTTAAGAGTGCATTTGGTACACATTTAGCAAATTTCCAAACTTTGGGGCAAATGTTCACCTTTACACTTCCACATTTGGGGTATATGTCCAGTGACTCACTTATAGAGTGCATGTGTGGTTGGGGGGGATATGTCTGTATACAATATAATAGCCACCGTAATTACATTACAACATGTACAAGTACTTATGAAAACTGTAACACATGCAATTTAATACAGCATTTTAGCACGGCCCAGTTACTTAAACTAATAATCTGATGACAAAACATGATCAGTTAGAAAAATAAAAATGTCCCTCATTACAAATAACATGTTTATAAATAAAAAAGTATTGTGAATCTTAATAAACTTTGATGGAAAATTCACCTTAAAATGTTAAAGATTATTTATGGATGTTTCAATTAGTTAAAATGAATCAGAAAAAATAGGTCCTGTTCAAGTGTAAAACATCCAGATATTATGTTAAAGGCCCATTAAGCCTAAAAAAAATGCTAATCTTTATTTATTAGCAATATAGTTGAGACATCTTTTGCTTCTTTTGTGTTTTAAGCAATATATGCAGTTAAAGTGATATCAACATACCACTTTGTTTTTTGAAACGTAAATCACACATAATTTCACATTCGTGTCATAAGCATCTGAAATGTTCGATATAAAATATAACACCATAAAACACATACATGTCTGACCTTGTTTCAATACATCTTGATTAAAGATGATTACTGTTATTCTGACTTAGATCTCTTATTAAAACATAAATTGAAAAGAAAATAATTAACAAAGACATTATCACATTAAAATATAATCAACAAAAAACAATGGACACTGTGTATTGCATACACTGGATAGTCTATAACAAATGAAACATGAATACTAGAGAAAAATAAAGTCATTTACAAACAAAACTTCAAAATTTCACTCTAAAATAACAAAACAAGAGATAATTAAAAAGCTAGATGGAAAAAATAATCATACTAATAAACAAATAAGCACAGAAATATAAAAGATAAAGCCATGCTAAAAAATTGTTTGTTTGTCATTTCCAATCATAAAGATAACACAAATAATTAAAACTATATAACATGCCACTGATAAAAGATGTAATATATAAATTTCAATAAAGTAATTCAATATTTCAATGAGAAAAATTGTTTCTGTATCATGCTGCTAAGTTTTAATTATTTCCATCTATAGAATTTCTTTTTAATTTCCAGAAATCTTGCATGGAAACATAGGAAGAAAAAAATACATATTCAGCAAAAAATATTTCAAACTGACAGGATTTTGGTAGGTCAGAAGCGACAAACAAACAATGTTCTATATTTAGCCTAAATCTTTTACATCAGGTTAGTTTCATCAAAGCTTTAAAACTCATCAAATTATTTCAGCAATAAGCCAATAAAAAGTAAAAATAATTTTGAATAAAAAAATAGAGACAGACTGTAACATGATCACACTCAGAAATTAAATTTCTAACAAATGTTAAAACACAGATAATTAACAAAGCTCCAATTATTTCTATATACAGAGAAAGTATTTTACAATACTTTTAGTACCTCTTAATATTCTCATAATCTGCTATATACACTATTAATCCACTAGATTTCAATCTAGAATTATGTTTAGTCACATTGATTTAAAAAGCTATGTAAATGCCTTACAATATTTACTATACATATGTAAGCAGAAGCGCACAACTATGCACTTAAAACAAGCTACAAGAGCTGCAACAAACAAAAATATAGCATTTCATGAAAATATTTGTACAGAATATACATGCATGATTGTTTTGACAACACTAAACAGTCTTTACAGCCTCCAGATGGTCTTGGTTTCTTTTAAATTGTATCAAAAAAGTAAAATAAGCTAATAATCTTTAAATATCAAATTGTAAAACCAGTGGTGATTCTTTTAAAAGTCTTTTTCTGCATCTTTCTGTCACGTATTAAAACAAAGTGGATATTTTTGTAACTCCAAATAATACATTATTTTTTTTTTCATTTACAGTAAAGAATTTAGTGCCATCACGGATTTCCAGACATACCTTCCAACAGACAAGTATAACAATTAATAATGGAAAACATGCAGTTATGATGGAAAGACAGGTTGATTACATAATATAGCATTAAACTTTTCTGGCGAGAGTTGTTTGAATTCCTCATCATCTCCATTGGTAGTGTTCTCTGTTGAATCGGCTTCTACGCTCACTGTTCGAAGAATCATCTCGGAACTCCTGTCCGACTTTGTGCAGCGTGACTTGTGAAGCTCATACAGGGCGTGTAGTTCAAACTCTTCACCGCAATCGCACATGTACTTACTGTTCAATGTTGAACTATGTCTTTCTCGAACATGCTGCTGCAGTGCAGATGGCAACGCAAACTTTTCTTTACATTCTTTACAAGGATACAAGTCTAGTCCACCAGTATTCAGACCATCGACCTTCCCTTTACATACTCTCTTGTGAGACGTTAGAACAGACGGATATGAAAATCCTACATTGCATTTTTCACAGACATATGGTCGTATTCCTGTGTGTGTATTTTTGTGACCAAGATAGTGTTGGATGGTGTTAAATCCTTTATCACAAGTCTCACACTTGTACTTGTAGGAATTATTATGTTTGGTCTGTTGATGGTACATAATGCCCCCCTTAGAGGAAAATGTGCGAGAGCATTTGTCACACTTGTATCGTGCCTGTCCTTGATGTTTAGAATTCTGATGGGTCCTAAGCTTTGTAATTTCATTAAAGGATTTTGGGCAATCGTGGCATTTATACTTCTTGCCTGTATGAGTTAACTCGTGTCTTTTAATATGGGAGGATTTCTGTGTTTTGTAGTCGCAGAATTGGCATGCATGGAGGATGGCGGCGGCAGTCTGGGCAACCTGTGTACTTATCTCATCTTCTTCCCCAGTCATATCACACACAAACCGTTCTCCAGACTCTACATTAGTAATCTCGATTGAATCAGATGAATTTTCATCAAAGTCTACATTTGTACCTTTATTAACATCCTCCTCGGACCTCATAGACATTGGTGAGACTTGCTGATTCTTGTTTGACAAACTTTCCACATTGACTATCATCATGTTACTTAAGCCATCTATCTCCTGTGCTCTCTTCTTTTGTGCAAGAACTTCACTACATTTGGCTTTATGATTATCGAACCCAGCTCTCCATCGAAACTCAACGCCGCATACACAGCGGAATCGGGAAACATCAAAGTGCTCAGTAACAGTATGTTCTTTCAAATCTTTGTCATTCATGAATGTTTCCCCACACATTTCACATGCCAGACTGTTTATCTGACCTGCACCAACACATGTTTTCCTATGCATCGACAATGTGGCAAGGTAAGTAAATTCTTTGTTACAAACGTTACATTTATACTGGCATGGTCCATTATGTTTATTCATATGGGCTTGATAAAACTGCAAAAAATTAAATCCTTTACAGCAACCTTCGCACCAGTAGGCAAAATCTTTTTTATGCACTGTCCTTGTATGGTATTTAAGACCACCTTTTGATGTGAACTCTCTATCGCATAGATGACATTTGAAATGAACACTTTTCTCATGTTTAACTTGGAAATGTTCCTTTAATTTACATTCCTCAGTGTAGCTTCTGTCACAGATGTTGCACTTGTAAGCTTTCCCAGTATGCAATGTAAAATGTCGTCTTAGACGTACAATGTTTGTTCCTTTATAGTCGCAATGTGGACAACTCAACAAACCATTTGATTCTCTAATAACTGTAAACGATCCAACTTTAAAATGTCCTTTTGCTTCTTGTTCTTTTTCCTGTAGGGAATTTAACACGGCTGCACCTTGTGTAATTGGGGAAACCATCACTTGGTTACCAGCTGCTTGTTGAACTACGGCTACAGATGTGGATATACCAGTCCAGGAAACCTGTGGGTTACCAACTAGAGTGACTGGAGTGCTAGCATTGATGGGCACAAAAGTTTGGGTTGGGTTGATAACATAGTTGTACTGCATGATTTCCTGATCCTCAACATTACCTGAAAGGATGCAAGGTTATTGTTAGAAAATAATAGAAACATACAAAAATATATATAAAAAAATTTATTAATTGAGAAATATGCAATCTAGAACAAAACACTTTAACTTTATGTAAATTTACAAATTTATGGACTCATTTGCAAAAAATAGTTCAGCAGAGCTATATCATCTGCACTGTGTGCAATATGTATTTTATTGTATTGATAAAACCTAATATCTCATTGGTTAGCATAACATAAATAAGCATAACACAACATTACATTTTTGCTGGCAAACAAAGGTCAATGAACAAATGCATCATCACATAGTCTACAATTTATGAAACACACAGTCTCAAAAAAATAATCTAACATTGACTATTGAAAATCTAAGGTGGCCCTCCCTGCATTTAATATATCAAGAACACACTGGAACCACAAGTAAAACCAAAGGCTGCCAATAACCTAGCTGTTCTTCTACTCTAATTTTCTAACATGAAGGAGTTTAAAGAACCCACACCAAATTAAAATAACAGAACAAGGACTTGAAATTTGCTTTCTTAAGCATTTGTAGACCCCTGGAAATTTGAAGCATAAATGACTCTCAATAAATTTATTAACCTGTATTAGAAGTATCAAGCTCCCAGCTGGCAGACGAAACAGACACACTTCCGTCCATGTCCGACTCTGACAAGTCATCTTGTTCTATAACAACACGCTGTGGCAGAGATTTTCTTGGGCGTTTCTTTCCTCCATCAGGTGAATGGTCCGCGGCTGCCTCTGTATGCTCTATAACATTGTAAACTAATATGAGCCGCGTCACGACAAAAACAACATAATGGGTTTGCGACCAGCATGGATCAAGACTAGCCTGCGCATCCGCGCAGTCTGATCAGGATCCATGCTGTTCACTTACAGACCCTAATAAGTAAAGAAACTGATAGCGAACAGCATGGATCCTGATCAGACTGCGCAGGCTGGTCTGGATCCATGCTGGTCGCAAACCCATTATGTTGGTTTTGTCATGACGCGGCTCATATCTCATCATCGATTACAATCTGATGGGAAAACAGAGACTGCGTAAAAATATATTCAACACTTTAATTTGGCCTGATTAAGGAAGGATACTGATGAGCATCAAAGCACACAAAAATGTGATAATCAGTAATAAAATTCTTTGATCTTTTGCGTTAATTAATAATTTAATATAAAGTCATCTCATATAATTCATTCTGATACACAAAATATTATTTCAGGCTTTCATCTATTGTGTAGAAAATATCACCTTCCCTAACCGAGCTAGACACTTGAACTTGCATTTAACAGTGTCTCATTACTAAGTCAAGCCCTCTCAAATATTTATATTCCTTATTCTACCACATATACATAAATCCAAGCAAACAAAATAGACAGTTTTCAACAAGATAAAGACATACCTCTTTTATTTGACTGTACATTTTTTGCTTCATTAGCAGAATTTTGAGAGGAAGGGGAGAGAACTCCGTCATTCATTAACTGTACCATTTCTTCCCTCACGGCATCTCTTACCCTCTTTTCTATACCAGACAGATAATTCCCTTTATTTTCCTCAGGCTTTTTCATCAGTCTAAAGCAATGAAGCAAATTATGGATAACGTCAGGTGTATCAATACAAGTGTAAATTTGATATATATACTAATACTTCTATACTGTATTTCAGCAGTGAAAATACAAGAAGTTTTCATTTTCAAGGTCAACACTTCAACTAATGTTCAATAGATCATTAGGTTTTCGCAAAGCTCATAAAGCCTTGATACAAATCAATGTACATGTACATTTTCATTCTTAGAGATGGATGTTAATATAGATAGTCACTTTTGTAAAATGTCAAATAAATGGTTTGCGTCAGTGTGAAGACTGCAGAGCAGTTCTTCTAATACAAATGTAGGACAATCATGGAGTGATCAGCATTTACTTAGTTTTAATGAATTAAATTTAATTAATTTTTAGTATAAAAGATCTAAATAGGCAGTTACCCCTTTCCCCACTACATAAAAATCATATGATTTGCCGTTAAATGCCACTATGCACATTTGGAACAACAGCAGCTGACCTACAGCAGCTTGTTGATTAAATTAGTGGAGGACTTAAAGACAGAAAGCTGTCACTATACTAGACAGACTTGCTACATGTTGTGCATGTTTAATTGCAACTAAATTGTAAAGTCAATAAATTGTGTGGCTGTGTTCCACTCTTGATTTTTTATGTTAGATTTCAATATTTTTCTCCTTTTCATATTTATTTTTCTAGATTTTCCAATCAAAAAAAATCTTTGCACAAAAAAAATTTCTTCTGTTTCATTTAATTGATTAATAAATCTAAGAGTTACTTACTTTTCTCGTAGACCAAACAAATGTGTCATCAAATCATTTGCTCCCATCTTCAAGCTGGTCTTCAATAAATCAAATGTTTTGCCCACCTCCTCGCTCACGGATATAATATTCTGTCCAGGCTCCAAATCCAGACGTAAAAAATACCTAATCACCTCGTCTGAGGACTTTTTAGTGCGTGTTTTGAAGTTTTCAAAATCTCTTATCGTTGCCATGCCAACCTGAATCTGATTCTCTCTTCTTGTCTCTTTTGTTTCCCTATAAATAAAAACAATTTGCTGAAAATTTGAAATTGAAACTCTTGCATAAGAACAGGCAAAAACCAATCAAATTCTGTTGTTTTTGTCAGTTGAATATATAAAGCATTTATATATTCCATGCTTACAGCTTTTAAATTTTATCCCCTGGATCACAGATATACTATATTCAGCTCCATGCCTGGATCATTAATCTGATGCTCTTCCTGTTGAGCTAAGCGGGCGGACAAATAATCTATATAAAAGCTACTCTAGATGCAAATTTCAGTATAAAACAAATACCATGAATCTAGAAGGAACCTTGCCATTTCCTCATCCGTCTCTAGGTCTTGTCTTTCCTTCAATTCCTTCCATCGGTCTAGTTCATCGCCTAAAGAAAGCTCAATTTTGTCATCTTTCTGAGCAACTCCACCATTTGTGAGAGACTGGCTTGCCCGTTTCGCTCTTGTGGAAGGGGAATCACGACTCTGTACCTGTCTGGACAAGATAGCTCCTCTGGCAAGACGTACGGCTTTAGCAGGGCGCCCTCTGCGCCGAGGCATTCCTCTCAGAGTTGCCATCTCATAGAGATGATGTGTCTGAAATTATTAATGTATAAATTCATCAGGCAAAAATGTTCGCTTCGAAAAATCTAAATTTTTTATTAAATCCATGGAAAAGAAGTCTGCCCAATTTTCTGAGAACTAACGATAGTCTACTAATTTAACCTTACTTCATGAACTTTTACTCTTGCTCACCCTGTATGGCATGATTAATTGTAAAACATTTTTTACTTTAGATCATTATACATAGATTCTTTACTCTTACACCTTGGAACATGCAGTAAACTATTATCAAAGACATTACCCTAACATAGATCTGTCAATAAATTTCACTGTTGCATTCCTTGGTGTTTATTCAATTTAAATTTCAATATAGGGGGTAGGTCTACATACATGTAAACTTTTTTCGATGATCAAGTGGGAGATTTTTCTTCAAAAAGAGTGAAATTTTAGAATTTGCAATAAACAAAGAATAAAGTTCTGATATGAAAAAGAGGGAGATTTCTTTTATTTGTGAAAAATACCCCTTATTTTAAGAAAATTCTTTGAAAATATGGCTGCAGAAAGTGGGAGTCTCCCGCTAAAAGAGGGAGAGTTCACATGTATGGGTCTATATATTTGATGTTAATTTTTATCTATTGACAAAATATCAAGTTCCTGTGGTATGATTATATGTAACTTTTATTGAAACTATGTTGTCCAGTAAAACATCCCAAAATTTTTGTGCCTGAAATTAAAAATATTTTTGTCATAACCATAATATTAACTGCTTATATTACTGGTTCAAAAGCATGTAAAATGCATCTTAAATATTATAGTCTAGAGGAATCACAGCAAGCTAGATCTAGTATTCCATTAAAATTGCATGTGAAAAAAGCTGTGCTTGAGAACTATTTAAACATTGCACTGAAATAAAAAGTATCTATACCTCAGAAGGGCCTCATGTAAATGCTAAAAATCCACACCCTTTAATAGATCTAGAACTTTTTATTTTAATATGAAATGAGTCTCCGCCATTTTGAATATTTTCATACGACCCTGGCTGGTACAAAAATCAATATTTCACTTCTTGAATACTGACAAAATAAAAATCGATAATTGGTCTAAAAGCACGTTTCTGTTCAGAAATGAACTATTTTTGTCACTATCAAAATCTTGGAAGAAAATTTTCTGAATTATCTTAAAAAAAACTGTGTGAAAACGTGCTTATGTCAATTTTTCAAGGATTTGCAAAAAATAAAAATCACACGATAACTGAACGAGGTCGTTTTTTTTAGTGTGTGTAAAATTTTAGCAAGTTATTTTTTGTCTGCACTGTTGTGACATGCTGTATAGATAAACCAATTCCATACCTTCCTGCAGAATCTTCATGGAGCTATTTTAGGATATCCTCAGTATTAATCAAATTTGATACAATCTTTTCCATTTACTGAAAGCCCCAATTTTCGTCGGGCTGTACCATTCTAAAAATTGGGGTTTAACGTTATCCTGTCTGTATTAGCAGACGCTTATTTCTCACGAATAAGCGTCCATTTACTTGGTGGGGAGCTTCTCACAATTTGTTTTAACTGTCAAAATTTAACGCGACATCATTTTTCGAATAGTTTTCTTTGTGTGTGATTTTCTTATTTTATATAAGAAATGAAGCACACTTCATCTACATCTACATAATAGATCTACTGCTTAACAATCAATTCTAATTATTACTAGCACTTATTTATATTAACAAAATAATTTAAGGAAATTCAATTAAAGCTTTGGAGCCAGTCGCTCAGAGAAATAATGAAATAATTTGCAATTTCATTAATTGTCCATGGTTCCTTTTGAAACGTAATAAAAAGTTATTTTTGATAATTAAAACACTTCAAATTTCAATTAAGTTACCTTAATATCAACAAGCCTTATTATGATCATATTTGTAATATTTAAATTATATATGCAATTTTTAACTATTTAATGCATTTATAGAACAATAGAGCTAAATAAAGAACTACAAAATTTAACAACTTTCTTTTTACAACAGTTTTAATGTGACTTTTTTGTTATGTTTATTCTAGTATAATATATTATGTGTGTCGGTAAATAACTTGTAACCAATGTTCTTAAACTTGTAAATGTTTACCGACATGAAAATTATGATTATGAAAAAAATGTTCATGAAATAGAAACTTAATAATATTCTATAGCCATGTTCATGTACAACAGTTACACACAGTTCTCGTGAAACAATACTTTGTAAAATGTGATGCTCTTGTGATCTTAGGGAATATGATCAATTCTTTCGATATTTCACGTTTTGATACTGTAATTGACATAACCAGGGAAAAATAGCATTGACAAACCCTGAAATATACTCAAATAGACAACACCGAGATAATTAAATGGGTTAATAAAGTTTCAATATTTATGTATTAATTTATTACAGTCTCACCCGTGCACGATTGCATAATATGCAAATACATTTCACATTTAAAAATGCAATATTTAAATATCGCATGAGATCAATTGTAAAATCTTTCAATAGGGAACTGGTTTTCATTTTTCCCTTTTCTGCGAGAAACAATTCTTTTACACCGCGGGGTTTTTACTCTTCCAAAATAGCACATTGGTGCTCAAATGCTCTCTCCCAAATATATGAAACAAACAGGTTCGAAATGTAATAAAATTATCAGACTGTGCGTTAGCCATATCCAAATTTACAAAGAGGCACCCTGTTTAGCAGGTGGTGGTGGTGTTGGTAGTTTACCCCCGGACCACGACATTAAGCTTCACTGAATTTGCAAGAGCACAGTTCAGACACAGCATCGTTCCTGGGCATGCTGTCAAGAAATTAACCACGACAAGTTGCCTCACATTCGCAGGGAACTGGTAACATCTGGACATGTCAGAGCAGAGGTACAGGGCGAATAACACATTCTGCAATTAATTACAACGAATGTGAAATAATATTGAAACGGATTTTTTCTTATTCTACTACTTTACATAACAAATTTATTCATTTTAATTATTTATCTGATTTGCTTTTTTCTTTATTATTCTAACCAAATATGTGCATGCATATTTTTATTGTAAGTAAGGAATTTACATACATGTAAGTCACATTTGACTTGTTTTCCAATCCACAAAATCTATCAGTGTCATTGTATATGCTTGCTGTACAGTACGACACATCTTGCAATTAATTACAACGATTGTGAAATATAATAATATTGAAACGGAATTTTTCTTATTCTACTACTTTAGGCAGCAATGTTCTAACAAATTTATTCATTTTAATTATTTATCTGATTTGCTTTTTTCTTTATTATTCTAACCAAATATGTGCATATTTTTATTGTAAGTAAGGAATTTACATACATGTAAGTCACATTTGACTTGTTTTCCAATCCACAAAATCTATCAGTGTCATTGTATATGCTTGCTGTACAGTACATATTTATGTTGTATATTGTTTAAACTAATGTGCGCTGCACCGTACGCGAATCGAACCCGGACCGCCCGATTCACAGTTCAACGCTCTTCCTATTGAACTAACCGGACGGTTCGTTTCTAGCAGGACCTGCTTTTCCATCATTTATGGAATAGTTACCGTACGAGGAATAGGTCTGCATAGTATATATTTACAGACCCGGACCGAGAGAGCGTAGCGATCGAGGTTTTTAAAAGGCCACCGGGTCTGTAAATACTATGCAGACCTATTCCGAGTGCGGTAACTATCTTAGCTACATGCTCTTTTGTTTTTGCAATCTATACATCAGTTTTTTACTCAGTATTTATTAATATTACTCACAAGAAACATATTATTTATGTACTTTATCATGTTAAGAAAGCATTCCAAAGCCATGCAAAGATAACATCCGCTACGCTCTTGTAATTCATTCGTTCACAAATCAGGTGTTATTTGAATATTCTCGTGTTTTTCGTGGGGTTTCAGTAATGTACTTGTTGAGTACATGTACTTGTACATGTACTTGTTCATTTCACAGAAAATGAAAACAGAACTTGTCGAGTAGGCAAAGGTAAGATCATTATTTTGATATATGAATACATAACATATTAATAATATATACAAATACTGAGGAAGATAAAAAAGTTTTCTAATAATAAAAACGGAACACTTTATCTTTACATATAATAAATTTCATGGGAAATAGATGATCAGGCTATTTCTAATATAATTAGAATATAAAATATACGTTTTTTTTTCAAAGGAAAGTAAATGACAGGGTTCTATGAATAAATATTAGTAATACACGTAGTTATATCGTCATGTACGTTGGTTTTTTAGTGGTTTTTTTATGATGGCTGATTTTTAATGTTCTTAGAATTTTGTCTAGAATGGAAGCGCAAATCGTATTCTTGCGAAGAACAGACAAGTACTGGTATACAAAATCCAAATTATAATGTAAAAAAACTGGAAAAAATGAGAAAAAAACGGTCTTATACTAAAGATGAACTATATATACTCTCTCTGAAAGTAATATTTTGGAAATAAAGATGCAGAAGTTGACTTTGATTCGATATGCACCAATAATATAATCATCGTATATATCCCATAATGCAGAATTGTGCAAAATCAGACAGAGTTGTTGAAATAAATGCCGAAAACTAGTATCTTATGAAGCTATATAGTTCGGCAAATGTGTTAGGTAAACCGAAAAGCAAACTATCAAGAAAGGCTAAATGTGCGTTATTGTACCCATTAATATCGGCGAAACACAAACTTCAGCGCCACAGAACAGTAGCCAGTTCGTTTTTCTCGCAAATAATCTGGAATATATGTTATGAGGGTCCTTACAGCCGTATGCGCTAATTTATTTCTATTAATTTGATGAAATGTACTTTAAAATATATATATAAATTTGCACAATTCAGCGTTATTTTTCAAAATTTCTGCGTTTACGGTAAATATTGTGTAATGCACGAGTTTCTCGACTTCACATATTTTCTATTGTATAGAGAACAATAGAACAAAAACAGGTCGGTATATATTTGCAGGCCTGTTAAGCGGTCGGTAAGTGATTTACTAGACCGCTTTTAACAAAAGAGCCGGTAGGTAAGTCTAATTATTTTTTTAATAACATATATAACATAACATAACATATTCTTTATTTGGCATAAAACGACAATATACATTTATAGCCAATACAGTAAACAATCATGTAATGTAAGAACATGATATACAATATAAATACCTTAATGTTTTACAGAGAAAGTTCTTGTTGCTACAAAATTTGAATAAATTTAAGTTCCTGTTATCTTACAATGGAAGAACATCATTAATAATATAAAGACCTTGACAAAGTTGAAATGTTGTATTTGGTGCTACAAAACTTGAATAAATTTAAGATGCTAACTGTTGTCATTTCTTTCTTAAAATGGAAAATACAAAAATTTGACAAGATACTAACTGTTGTCAGTTTTTTCTTAAGATGAAAAATACGAAAAATTTGACAAGTAAAGTAATAACTGTTGTCCTTTTTTTCATGTGAAAAATACAAAAAAATATATATGACAAAGACAAAAATATACTAAATGTTGTCAGTATACAGGTTTTCTCAAAAGCAAATATTAGTTAATATATATTGTAAAACGTCGGTGGGCGGCTGGATGAGCAGTCAAACATAAACAATCTCTTTTGTGCGCAACTCCTGCATTTCTCTTCCGATTTCAAGCAATTTTTCACTGACATATTGTCATTTTTACCTAATTATGGTTATTAAGGCGCTTTGTATATAGATACATTTATTTTAGTACGCAATTGAACAGAGAGAGAGATTACATTGCTCAAACTTTCTCACCAAGTGTTCTGTCGTATATTGTTGGGGTTTTGTGATTTGCTAAGTCTATTTTTGTTATTGTGTATTTAGATAATAATATCTGTCATAAAATTATATACATGCTCGCATCGGAATATCCGTCCCGTGGGAACCCGCCCATTGGACGGTAACAATTAAGGTTTGATGAGTTGCCGCCCATGGACGGGTCCCCGAGCGACGGATATTCCGATATGAACCGAAAACATATGCATGACAAATAGTTTTCATTGCATGTTCAACCATATTCTATCACATTTATTTACCTCATTAAAACAATTTTTAATGGAAATTAACGTCATTTCATCCGTAGCTATTTTCTTAAAATAACGTATAAATTCATAAAGGCGAAATGACGTATGCAGTTTCATTCAAGTTTAATACACAGG